CATATGGATAAATTTAAAATGGATTGCAAACCTAAATGTTCTGTATACTACAGAAAACACTTATGGTCATGGAGACTTGTCCAAAATCACATTTTGCAATAGAAAGAACCAGTAGATTCATCATATGCTAGGGGGTTACAAGCCCCACTCTAGAAATCAAGGTTGTTCTTTTAAATCACTCAGAAATTTAGTCCAGTGTCTTTTCCTTCTGGACAAATTTTTTAAAAAATAAAAAAAAAAGCTTAGATAATATTTCCTTCTGGACAAAATATCACAATAATAACAAAATATACCTCGGGTATGCAGGCCACATTGTCAATTCGTGTGATCAGCTAAGCAAAGATCCCTAGGACCTTCAAGAAAATCAGTGGCCAATACTGACATTCCAGAAATGAAAACTACAAGTAAACATTATGAATGTCTTCCATGCTAGTTTTGGAAAACATTAAAGAACAAGATGTTAGAAAAGCAAACTAATTAAGTGCATAAAATTTCTCTGCAATTTCAATATTGAGGATAAAAAATAGAAAATAAAAACAAAAAGAGTAAAATATATATAACTTAATTGCCCATGTTTGTTTGCAGGAGGGTGGTTTATGCAAGAGAAAACTAACACTTCATAACCAAAGTAAACAAAAAGTTATAAATGGTTTGTCAAAAAGTAAACAAACAGTTATTAATACAAAATATGAGCTAAAGTAAGAAGTAAGAAAAAAATTCCCTCTTAATGGAGACTTGCTCAAAATCACAATCAGCAGCATGTATCACAATCAACAGGAGCCTACCAATTAGCGTGAATCTAGCCCATGTTGCCATGCCTATAAAGCTCAACTAATAAATAAACTGAAATTCATTTGATAGGTGTAAATTGAAGTTTTATTTATTAATTTATTGCTAGGCCAAAAAGGATGACTCGTGCGTGGCAATTCACCTTGGGCTTGATCATAGAGTCTATGGGAGGAGATTTTTCTCGGCCACCTACTATGCAAATCATAGGAGAAAATGGCTTAGCAGAACACATGACTACGGGTCTAGCTCTAAAATGTGAGCTCCTAAATTCGAGAAACACTTTGTAAACACACAACCTGTCATCATTGAATGAAATTTGGAAGACATGTTCTATAAGGACAAGCAAAAAGTAGCAGCAGTTTTTTTTAATTTAACATCTGAATTGAAAAAGAAGAATGTGCAGAGAACAATTATAAGTATGTACACAAAATGAAAAATTAACTAACTAAGTATGTACACATAATGAAAATTTTAAAAACTATCCCATAACAACTTAAAATTTAAAATTAACTAACTAAGAACAAAATAGGACAAATAATGCTAAAATACCAAATATATAAAGCCAAATAATAACATAACATATCTATTTCATAGAAACCATATCTATTTCATAGATTTGTAACAGACCAAACCGAAAGAATAAAATTTGAACTCAATTCTGAACCCCACAGAAATTCATATTTCAGTCAAAGAATTTTCACAAGCAAAACTTGAAAATTAACATAAGTTCACAAGAATAAATAAATAAATATGAAAATGAAAATAACTATTCACTCCAAATGACATAAATTTTACATCAAACAAAACATTATCTAGAAAATTAAAATCTCACTAAACCCTAAACCCATATATATATATATATATATTTCATAGATAGACGAAAATGTAAATTCATACCTCAACCATCTCCACATTTCCAGCTCGTTCGAACAACCTAGTAAGAGTAGCACTGTCGACATTGAAAGGTAAGTTTCCAACGAAGAGTTTGAGAGCAAGAGAGAAACTGGGTTCCTCTGGATCGCTTAATAGGTCCTCTTCTTGCTCGTACTCGGATGAAACCGCGATGTTTTGTACGAACTTGGAAGGCGAGGAGGCTTCGAAGGGTCTAGAGGGAGAGAGAAGAAATGAGGAACTACTTGCCGTCGTCTACCGCTCACCGTCATCTGTCGCCACTCGTTGGAGAGAGAGAGAGAGAGAGAGAGAGAGAGAAGAGTTTAGGGATTTTTGGTTGAAGGGGAGTTTTGGTTTTTGAGATTGGGGATTTTAGTTGAAGAGATTGGGGATTTTGGGGGGAGAGAGAGAGGGAGGGAGCCGTAAGAAGAGATTAGGGATTTTTGGTTGAAGGGGATTTTTGGTTTTTGAGATTGGGGATTTTCGTTGAAGAGATTGGGGATTTTGGGTTTGGGGTGGGGGGAAACCCGAGCAGGAATAGAAAAAAAAGAGGGTGGGGGGAGATTAGGGATTTTTGAGATTGGGGATTTTGGGTTTGGGGGTGGGGGGATCCCGAAACCCCTCTTTTTTTTTTTGCGACGACAAAAAAATTTAATTTTTATTAGAAATTTTTTTTTTTTTAGTTAATGATTTTTTTTTGTTTGATTTTTCATTTTCTTTTAGTTACTAACACTGTGTTTGGTTGGAAAATTTGGGGAGGGATTTGGAAAGGGAAAGGGAAAATGTGTGTGAAACTAGGTGAAATATAAGTATGTTTTATTCACATTTCACCTACCTTTTCCTTTTTCCTTTCCAAATCCCTCCTCAAATCCCCTAACCGAGCACACCATAAGGTTGAAAATTTATTTGTTTCATTTTTATTTTAATGAATAAAAAATTATTATTTTTATTTGGTAAATGTAGGGGTAATATTTTAATGAAAAATATTTTCTATTAAAATAAAGTTAATTTTTTGTAGTCAATGAAAAATATTTTTCTGCGTCCCATTTTTTTTTGTTACTAAAAATCAGGAACTAATTTTTTGTGGTAGAGGATAAGGAGCGACAGTAGTGGTGAAGGTGGTAGATAAGAGGTGATAGTAGTGGTGGTGGTGGTGATGGCGAAAGAAATCAGTGGTGAAGTTGTGGTAGTGGTAGAGGAGATAGAGTAGCGGTGGTGGATGAGAGGTAATGGTAGTAGTAGTGGTGGTAGTGGAGTGGTGGCAATAGTGGTAGTAATGATAGTCGTAGAGGTGGAGTGGCAATAGTGGTAGTAGTGGTGGTAGTGGAATGGCATTTGCAGTAGTGGTGAAGGTGGTAGAGGAGATGAATCGTGTGAGAGAGATGAGTAAGAAACAGATAGAGAATAGAGATAGAGAGAGAGAGAGACAGAGATAGAGTGATGAGCGAGAGAGAGAGAAAAAGTGGTCCCTAAAAGTGCATTTTCTTGTAGTGTCTCGATAAATCAAAAAAGAGCTCGGTAAATCAAGAAGAGGGGAGGATGAGAGTGAACAAGGCGAACATAATGAGGGAGAGATAGACAAATAGATAGGCAGATAAAGAGAGAAAGAGAGAGAGATAGAAAAAGAGAGAGAAATAAGAGATGAGTGAGAGATAGACAAAAAGAGAGAGAGAACGAAAAGAGATGAACGAGAGAGAGACATCGAAAAAGAAAGAGATAGAGTGAGAAGCGAGAAGAGAGATAAACAAGAGAGATAGAGAGAGAGATAGAGAGATGAGCGAGAGAGACAGAGAGAGAAAAGAGATGAGAGAGATAGAGAGAAGAGAGATGAGCGAGAGGGAGAAGACAAATGAGAGAGATAGAGAGAAGAGAGATGAGGGAAAGACACACACACAGAGAGAGAGAGAGAGAGAGAGTGAGTGAGAGACAGACATACAGACAGACAGAGAAGAAAGAGTGATGAGTGAAAGAGAGAAAGAGAAGAGACAGAGACAGAGAGACAAGAAGATGAAAAAATGGGTGAAGAGAGAAATGTTATATCAAAAGAGTAAGACGACGTCGTTTTTTTTAATTTTTAATTTTTTTGCGATAGAAAAATACCGTGGCATTTATTCAAACCATTTTGAGACTATATATTTATGAAGCTCTCTCAAAGACATCAACTTGTTTGGTTCCAGTTTCAGAAAACAGTTTTCAGAAAATTCTACTTTTTTATTTTTCATATTTTAATATTTTTAATTTAATTTTTTAATAATTTAAGCATTTTTTTTTAATTTTTTTAGGCACACCTAACATAAATATACTTAAAAAATATAATATTTGTGAAAAAATATTTAAAAAATACACTAAATACCAAAAAATACAAAAAAAAAAGAAAAGAAAAGAAAAGAAATGAAAATTTAGTATATTTTTCATATTTTTGTGTATTTATTAAATTTTCAAAATATTTTTTCACAAATATTTTAATATTTAGATACATTTAAGTAAGGTGCACCTAAAAAAGTAAAAAAAAAATTATTTTTAAAAAATATACTTGCTATTTATTTTTGGGTGACAAATATAATAAATTAAAAGACTAAGATTATCGAATTAACCTAATATTTTTTTGTATGAATAGTATACATAAAAAATTTTACAAAATGAATAATTCAAATTATTAAAACGACATTTGTGGTGAATATCATAGTACCCTTCATCCAAAATTTAGGCAGGAGGAAGCCTAAGAGAAAATATAAAAAATGTGAATTAATAAATAGAATAAAATATTGTTACAAAAATACTGGATAATTTCATAATTTATTGAAGAAATTCTTTTGTGATTTTAGAGTATTATTCATGTCAGGGCACAGGCAATCTTCTAAAAATTAACACAAAATTAAATCTCACCATTTAAATTAAGAAAAAAAATACGCACGTTTTTTTTGACATTCAAAAAGTCCATCATGATGTTTTTATGATAAATTTTTCATAAACATTTTTGTTTTTGTACATCATAGTTTCCATAAATATAACAATACAGATATACATATATACATTATGTATCTAGGTACATCATATTTTCCACAAGGGTAATGCTAGGGATACCAAATTTTCTACCAAACAAATGACCAAATGTCTCACATGAGTGTGGGGTCCGCAATTTTGTGGGTCCCACACCCATGTGAGACATTTGGTCATTTATTTGGTAGAAAATTTGGGACCCCTAGCATTTTTCTTTCCACAAATAAAACAATACAGATACATATATACATTATATATCTAGGTTCTGAGACCGGTTAACCGGTTATAGCAAGTTAACACGGCCTATAAGTAGATGAACACTGCGTGAGATGTGGAGACCAGTACAAACCACAAAAGAGTGAAGTTAAAAAGAAAAAACCACACCTCTTGCATTCTAGACCGTCTGATCTTGATCATCCAACGATGCCGATCAACCGGATTGCAGTGGGTACCCGGGAAGAGGCGACCCACCCGGACGCCCTCAAGGCGGCGTTGGCGGAGTTCATCTCAACCCTAATCTTCGTCTTCGCCGGAGAAGGCTCCGGCATGGCCTTCAACAAGCTGACCGGCGACGGCGCCGCCACCCCCTCCGGCGTCATCTCTGCTGCCATAGCCCATGCTTTTGCTCTTTTCGTCGCCGTCTCGATCGGAGCTAACATCTCCGGCGGCCACGTCAACCCCGCCGTCACCTTCGGCGCCTTCATCGGCGGCCACATCACCCTCCTACGTGGCATCCTCTACTGGATTGCCCAGTTGCTTGGTTCCATCGTGGCTTGTTTATTACTCAAGTTTTCCACCAATGGCATGTCAACATCGGTGTCTGGAAGGCTTCAAGAACTCTATCAGCGACCCACAATCCAAACTCTCCTCATGGATCTTCACCAACACCTCGGAATAAGTTTTATCTGAACCGACTTCAAACTATGGGACATGGTTCATTGGACCATCATGATGTTGTTTCCTTGCCAGAACTTCTCTATCCTGTTGAAAGCCTTTCACAAATTTTTATTGCTACTTTTACAAGCGATATTTTATGGTAAGTTTCTTTTCTCTTCTTTGTTTCCATTTCGTTTCTTTATTTTACACAAACTTCACTGAGGCTGGGTTTGGACCTCTCTTGGCTCACCTACAAACACATGAATGAGCGTAAGCAAAAGCCCAGTGAATAATATCAATTACAAAAAATACACGAACAGTATTTAGAACAATATACACCAAACGGCCTTGGGCCCAATTCATATTTCTATCAGGCATATATATAAATATGTATAGGTCAAGTGACTACGATTCCAAACACATCAAACAGCCTTGGTCCCAATTCGTTCTTGTCCGACGGCCTTTGGCCCAATCATTTGTGTCATACGGCCTCTGGCCCATTCATTCATGTCATTCGGCCTTCGGCCCAATCATTTATGTCATTCGGCCTTCGGCCCAATCATTTATGTCATTCGGCCTTCGGCCCAATCATTTATGTCATTCGGCCTTCGGCCCAATCATTTATGTCATTCGGCCTTCGGCCCAATCATTTATGTCATTCGGCCTTCGGCCCAATCATTTATGTCATTCGGCCTTCGGCCCAATCATTTATGTCAATCGGCCTTCGGCCCAATCAGTTACATCAATCCGCCTTCGGCCCAATTCAGTTATATCAATCGGACATTTGTCCATAATTCGAGCTAGTGAACTTATATGGCTTATAAAGAAGTAGACGATTGGACAAATGAAAAGCTTCAAATATCGATATTACTCACAGTGATCGGCTTGTGGATTTGCCCTAGAGCTTGACCCTACACATTCCACGAACACAAAAGTGTCAGTAACAATTCAATCTGTTCCTTAATTCACATATTCCTCTTTAGGCTTTATTCTTATCTCATTAACCCATTTACAATGCTTAACATATGCCTAAGAGTGCTTACAAGTGAAAGAGAACGAAAAACGAAACACAGAACGCATAAACAAAATTTCACAAAAAAAGGTCCCCGCTCGAGCATGGACTTCCCCGCTCGATCGGACCCTTAAGGCCTGCAAAAGTACTGGTTACATCAAAAATACGCTCGAGCGTGGAATAGAGTGCTCGAGCGGAAGGCCTGTCTACGAAAGCTCCCTGCTCAAGCGTGAAATATCCTGCTCGAGCGGACATCCAACTCTGCAAAAAGTGTTGGGAGCACAAAATTTACGTTCGAGCGGACCTCAAAATTCTGGAAAACCCAGAATGTGTTCTTGAGCTCAAATTCGACCTTCAAGCCAACAATTCATGCATGCAATGGCTGAAATCTCAAATATGATTATACTAACATGGTATAAACCCCAAATTACAACCCAATGAAGCTCAATTTCACAAATAAATCACATGCATGGCTCATTTTCCACCAAACTAATTACCAACATAACAATTTCATGCATTCAACACTTACATCTTCAGAAATTTGCACATGCATGTGGTACACTACTCTCATTCCCAATTTATAAAATGAAGAGATGGTCAAGAACATGATCTTCAACTAAAAACTTACATGGACCATACATTTGGTGCTCAAACATAGAGATTCAAAACAATTTCTTACATGCATGAGTTCTAAGACTTCAAATTCAACAAAACCAACTCATTTCATGCTCTATATCATCACACAACTTTGAACACACAAGATTACACATTTAAATTCATGAATTCAAGAATTAATGCTTACCTAGAAGCCTAATTCTTTGAATCTATGGTCCAATTTTGAGTTGGACTTCAAATTCCAAGCCTTCAAGATCAAACTCTCAATTTCTTTCACCCTTCTCTCTTAGTCGACCCTCTCTCCTTCTTTGAGTCCAAAAACCAGTCAAAATGCACTAAGGGAAGGAATTTGAGGGTGTAGAGCCTTTACAACATAACCCACTAACTATTATTTAATAATATTAAACAATTGGGTACTAAAACATCAATTTTAATCTGATTAATTTGATCCAAATCAATTTCCAATTAAACTTCACCGTAGGCTCTAAAAATTATGTCAATCACAATGGCGCAATCAATTTTGGGTTCTGTGGCCGATAAGGCCTTCAATTTAATTTCCAAAGCAAATAATCGAACTGATATTCCTACGGTGAACAAATAGAAATTCAAAACCACATAATGGCACGCAAAATCATATCAAACACATAATCATATTTAAATTAAGGACCAATTAGCATATTACGGAACAGGGGTATCACAGTCTTCCCCCCTTTAGGAAGTTTGGTCCTCCAAACTTAATTTACCTTCGTCGGGAAACAAATGTGGATAGCATAGTCGCATTTCCTCCTCTTTTTCCCACGTGGCATCCGTCCCATAGTGTTCCTTATATTCCACTTTCACCATTGGGATGGATTTGCTTCTCAATTCTTTCACTTGTCGGTCAACAATTCTTTCCGGCCATTCGGCATATTCCATATTCTCATCAATAGCTACCCGGCAATAGTCAATCACATGAAACGGGTCTCGGAGGTAACCCCTCAACATCGACACATGAAACACATTATGGATTTGCTTGAATCCCGGTGGCAAAGCAACTCTGTAGGCAACTGGACCAAGCCTCTCCAAAATCTGAAACGGCCCAATGTAACGGGGCGACAACTTGCCATTTTTCCCAAATCTGACTTGGCCCTTCATCGGAGAAACACGGATGAACACATGGTCACCAACCTCATACTCAAGAGGTCTTCTCCGAACGTCTGCATAATTCTTCTGTCGGTCTTGAGCTGTTTTGAGCCTTTGCCGAATGGTTTTGATCTTTTCAGTAGTGTCTTGCACAATCTCAGGCCCAAACAAAGATCTATCCCTGACTTCTGTCCAACAAATAGGTGATCTACACCTTCTACCATACAAAGCCTCGTATGGTGCCATACCGATGCTGGAGTGGAAGCTGTTGTTATAAGCAAATTCTGCAAGTGGAAAATAGTCTTCCCAACTCCCCCTGAAAATCCAAAGCACACATCCGAAGCATGTCTTCTAGAGTTTGTATCGTTCGTTCTGATTGCCCATCTATCTATGGGTGGAATGCAGTACCGAACCTTAGTTCTGTTCCCATAGCTTCTTGCAAACTCTTCCACAATCTAGATACAAATTTTGGATCTCTATCCGACACAATAGATACCGGAACTCCATGTAAACGGACAATCTCATCAACATAAATGGTAGCCAGCCTATAAGCAGTAAATGTAGTTTTGACAGGCAGAAAATGTGCGGACTTAGTCAGTCTATCAACTACAATCCAAATAGAATCGATACCTCGAGAAGTCCGAGGTAGGCCAACAACAAAATCCATAGTCACATGCTCCCACTTCCATTCAGGAGTAGGGAGAGGTTGAAGTAGACCGCCTGGTTTCTGATGTTCAGCCTTAACTTGCGGACATTGAAGACACTTGGACACATATTCTGCAATCTCTTTCTTCATTTTAGGCCACCAATAGGTCTGTTTCAAATCCTGATACATTTTATTGTTACCCGGATGCATAGCAAATACGGATCTGTGGGCTTCATTTGAAACCCTCTTCTTTAGTTCCGAGATATCTGGGACACACATTCGGTACTGGAATTTCAACACTTCATTCTCAATGCTGAACTCTGCTTTCGGGCTTATCCCAAATTCATCAATCACTTTCTTGAGGAATTCATCCTCTTTTTGTCCTTGTTTGATTTCATCAATGATCGTCGGCTCGGCTGTAATAATGGCTATCAATCCGCCCTGTCCACCCATTACCACTTCAATTTTAGATTTCTCAAAATCTTGCAAGATTTTTCTCTATTCGGTAAGCAAACAGGCCATACTCCCCGTTGATTTTCTGCTTAATCCATCAGCCACTGTATTAGCTTTCCCGGGGTGATACTGAATCTCTAGATCGTAGTCTTTTATCAGTTCCAGCCATCTTCTCTGACGCATATTCAACTCTTTCTGCGTGAAGAAGTATTTCAGGCTCTTATGATCTGTGTAGACTTCACACTTTTCCCCATACAAATAATGCCGCCAGATTTTTAAAGCAAAAACAACTGCGGCCAATTCTAGGTCATGTGTTGGATAATTCTTCTCGTGTGGCCTCAACTGTCAAGAGGCGTAAGCAATAACCTTTCCGTTCTGCATTAGCACACAACCCAAACCTTTATAAGATGCATCACTAAAAATCACAAAATTCTCCATACCTGATGGCAGTGTCAACACTGGTACAGTGGTCAGTCTTGTCTTCAATTCATGAAAGGCTGATTCTCTTTCACCATTCCACTCAAATGGTTGCCCTTTACGTGTCAGTTGGGTAAGAGGCACAGCTAATTTCGAAAAGTCTTTCACAAACCTCCTGTAGTACCCAGCCAAGCCCATGAAACTGCGAACTTCTGTCACATTAGTCGGTGTAGGCCAATTCACAATTGCCTCTATTTTCTGCGGGTCCACTGAAATTCCTTCCTTGTTGATCACATGCCCGAAGAAAACAACTTCATCCAACCAAAACTCACATTTCTTTAGTTTAGCAAATAATTTCCTTTCCCGAAGTATTTGTAAAATAGTCCTCAAATGATGTTCATGTTCAAGTCTATCTTTAGAGTATATCAAAATATCATCGATGAAGACTACGACAAACTCATCAAGGTAGGTTTTAAAAATTCTATTCATCAAGTCCATAAATGCTGCCGGAGCATTAGTTACTCCAAATGGCATAACAAGAAACTCAAAATGACCATACCTCGTTCTGAATGCGGTTTTCTCAACATCCTCTGCCTTAACTTTCAGCTGATGATACCCGGATCTCAAATCAATCTTAGAAAACACCTGTGATCCCTGCAACTGGTCAAATAAGTCATCAATACAGGGTAGAGGATATTTGTTCTTTATTGTTACCTTGTTCAATTCCCGATAATCGATGCACAGGCGCAAAGTACCATCCTTCTTTTTCACAAACAACACTGG